CTCTCTCTCTCTCTCTCTCTCTCTCTCTCTCTCTCTCTCTCTCTCTCCTGCTCTCCCTTTCCCATATTATCTGTATTATCTATATTCCCATTATCTGTAGATAATGATACCCCATCTTCCAGTCTACTAATAGCCAATGGCTCCCCAGGATGCTTAGGTCCTATGAGTGCTAACAAAGTAGGTAAGGGTAGGGGCTGCTTCAAGTGGGATAGCCTTGGGAGCCTTGTCCTCTTTGAGTCTCAACTTTGTCATCTTTACAATGCTAGTGATTATTATCCTGCAGGGTTTCCACATGATAGTACTGTACAGTGTAAAGAGATACCCTGTCCTAAAAGGCACTGTGAGTGTTGGGTGTATTCAAATCTGAACTTTCTCAAAAATATAGCTCAAGGGCCTGAATATACCAGAGACGTGAACCAGCTCCACTTGAGGCCCATTAACAGACTTGCCTTACACCGCACCACACTTTCTTGCCACTGCAGAGTCTGCTCTCTTCTCCCACATTTCATTGTCGCCTCAGGCTGCAACACATCAGGTGACACACTCGCTGTTCGCAGGTGAGGACAGTCACGTCACACTCCAGGCCTGTAAATGAGATCCACAGGCCAGTGTGGCCTCAGCCCACATCTGATGTCAAGATACTATCCTAATTAGAAAAAGCATGCTGTAGAACAGTGTGTACTATATATTTGTGTGGATTGTAAGATAAACATATAAAGTATGTTTATATATTTGCAAAAAAATTATGAAAGAACATGTCAGGAGTTAAGTGATTTTTTTCCTAGTTCTAATGGGATGCTGAGCAGGGAAGAAAGGGGCTTTTTACTAATTATTATCATTTAAAAGTTGTTACCATGAATGCAAGTTTCTTTCATAATAAAAAACTTTTAAGTAAAAATATAGATGAGAAACACATAGTCACGTGCCGTATGATGATGTTTTGATCAACAGCCCACATATATGATGGTGGTCCTGTAAGATTGTGATGAGGATGAAAAACATTCTTATTGCCAAAAGATGGCAGAACAATTGCCAAATAGCAACTACAGTACTCAGGTGTCTGGTGACGCTGGTGTCAGGGCAGATGCGATGCTAAAAATAGGTGACAGCCAAACTACACAGGTATCTGTAGATCTTTGTTTGCTCATATGTGAAATAATAGCTAATCCATAGGACCGCTGTGCTCATTGAATGACTCATGTGTCCAAGCCTGACACACTGTGAGCGCTCAGCAAATGTTCTGTTTAGGAAAATAATGGTATATAAAAGAGGCAGAAGGCAGACTGGTTTGATGTGATAATCTCTTTCGCCACCTTGTGGTTGATGACGCACAAGTCAGTCGTGCAGCAACACGGGCTAATAAGCAGAGACTCGAGCTTCCTACAAGGTTGGACCTTAGTGGGATGGATGAATTGGAACTTAGAGAACCGAGAAATAAAAACGTAAGTAGGTAGCTGGAGGAAGATCGGAATCCTTTACATGACTGTCATCTTTGATCCCAGATAATCCTGATCCCTAATCATGATTGTGCTAGAGAAAAATAGTAACTCATGGCTCTTTCATTTTAGGTCTTTATTGGCTAGACATTTTAGTTACACTCGTGACATGCGTGTGTCCCCACACACGTGAGCATGCACGCGCACGCACACACACACACACACACACATTTTACGTCTTTAAGTACCAATGTGTGTGTGTGTGTGTGTCTGTGTGTCTGTGTATGTGTGTGTGTGTATAAGGTGTGTGTGCTGGTGCCTACAGAGGTCAGAAGAGGGGCATTGGATCCCCCATGGAATGTGAGTTATGGACTACCCTGTGGGTCTTAGGAATTGAACCCAGATCCTCTGCAAGAGTAAAGTGCTCTAAACTATTTATGCATCTCTCTACCTCTAAGTGTTAGTTTCCACAAGCAGATGTTGTGAATGTCCTAGGGACATAGTTCTGAACTCAGCCACAGCAGTGTCTGTGTGGACAAGAGGAGGGAACACACGTTTCTACTACTTAGTCTCCAAACCAGATTTCTAGCCAGATACAAGTTTCTTTGGCAGTGTGTATGTGTGTTGGGGGTGTGTGTGC